ACATATGCCACCTGTAACCATGCAACTTCATCCACCAATTAAGAGCCTGAATTGTTGTCCACCTGAAATTGAGCAAAAATAGTAAGTGACATTATTATGAAGGAGAAAAGAAATACTTCCCTTGTGCCATTCAAATAATGTTAAACTTTCTATATTTGGAAGAAAGTCAAAACATTTTTTAATTTCTCCTTCCAATATAGGGCCTATTTGGAACCTGAGTTTTTTGGAAGTTTGTCTAAAACTTTACTATAGTGCACTGTAGAAGTTTTTGAAAAAAATTTGTAGAAGTATTTTGTAAGATGAAAAACTTTTTGTAGAAGTTTTTGTAAGGTGAAAAATTTTGGAGAAGTTTTTGTGAAGTGAAAAACTTTTTTTTCCTTTTTTTTTCTTTCTTTTTCTCTTTCTCTTTCTCTTTCTTTTTCTTTCTTTCATTTTTCTTTTCTTTCCTCTCTTCTTCTTCTTCTTCCTTTTTCTTCTTATTCTTTCTTTCTTTCCTCCCCGTTACCTCCCAGCAGCCGCCACCTCCCCACCACCCCTCTCCTCCCTTTCTCCTTCTCCTCCCCTCTGCCCTTCGCCCGCCACTGATCCCTTTCCTCCCTCCTCTACCCGCCACCCCCCTTGGGCCGCCACCCCTCCCACTCCCTCCCCCGCCACCCCCTATGCCCACCATCCCTTTCCCCCCTCTCCCCCGCCCTTCCCACCTGCTACCCGCAACCCCCTCCCCCTGCCACCCCCATGCCTTTTCCCCAATGCGACCCCCTCCACCCTCCACCCCCTGACCTTTCCCCAGCTTCTCCCTAGCACGACCCCTCCCCCGCCACTCATGAGAAGTTTTTTAGGGTTCCTGTAGCAAAAGTTGTTAAAAAACTAGTAGCTAAAAAATTTGGTAAAAAACTAGGATGCCAAACAGGCCCTTATATAGTCTCTTCCTTTAATCACATGTATGTTACCATTCAAATTCAAATTTTGACATTGTGAGGATAATATTAGAAAGAGAGACGTAAATATCACAATTAAACCATTATTTTTAATAAATTGGATTTTCAAAATAATTGGGACGAAAGGAATACCTTCAAGCATATATTTGTTTAACGTGTTAAGGAATTTATAAGAGATGAAAAGAAAAGCTGACAAACCTAAAGTTATTCAAAGTTTAACAGGTAAAACAAAAAATACAGTAGTAAGATTTACTTCCAGTGAAATGGATTTGTAAGTATATAAGTTTATTGTCAAAATAATTCTTCTTCTAAAATATATATCCAAAGTAACATAATTTTAAAATTTATTACCTTTATAATTATTTTTTTGCCATTTAGACTGCATATGTGCTGTGATGGATATAGAAGCACCCTCCATTTTTCTTTTCCATTTAATATCTTCACCATTTTTCTCTCCAGGTATTCTTGCATTTCTTTCTTTCATTATCTTTCTCTTATCAAACGGCCCCGTTTGGAACCTGAGTTTTTTGAAAATTTGTCTAAAATTTTAATGTAGTGCACTGTAGAAGTTTTTGGAAAATTTTTTTAAGATGAAAAACTTTTTTTTTCCTTTCCTTTTTTTTTCTTTTTCTTTCTTTCCTTTTTCTTTTCTTCCCCCTCCCCCTTCCCCATTACCTCTGCCACCCCAGCAGCCATGGTCCTATCAATTTTTTTTTTTTCTTTTTCTCTTTCTTTCTTTCATTTTTCTTTTCTTTCCTCTCTTCTTCTTCTTTTTCTTTCTTCCCTCTCTCTCTTCCCTCCCCCATCACCTCTGCCTCGTTGAAGAACTAGCAGCCTGCATGCCCAAAATTTTTTTTTCTTTTTCTCTTCCCCTCTTTGCTCCCCCTCTACTCTCCTTCACCCTCCCTCTCTCCCTCCCGAAGCTAGAGAACCAGCAGTGGAAGTTTTTTCTTTTTTTTTTTTTGCTTTTCTCTCCCTCTCTTCTCCATCTCCCTCTCCCCCTTTGCTCAATCTGGTCGCGTGACCAGTCGCGCGACCAAATAGCAGTTAGGGGAAGGGGGAGGGTGGCCAGGGAGAAGAGGGGGAGAGAGGAGGGAAAGAGAGAGAGGGAGAGGGAGAAAGAAAGGAAAAAAAAAAGGAAACGCCGGTGCGGGAATAGGTGGCCGGCGCCGGAAGCGGCGGTGGAGGTGCTGGGCGGCAATGAATGTGTGGTGGATCGAGGTGGGGGAGAAAGAAGAAGAAAAGAGAAAGTTTTTTGTGTATTAGATATTTTGAAGTGTGTAGGTTAAAAAATTTGTTAAGTTTTTTTGTGTTCCTGTAGCTAAAGTTGTTAAATAACTAGTAGCTAAAAAACTTGGTCAAAAAACTCGATTCCAAACAGGCCCTACGTAAGTCTAAGAAGCCAATATTTATATTAACAACATCTAAAAAATATTCTTGTTGAGTTGATAATTTCAAGACAAATGAATATTATTCTCTTGTCTTTTCAAGAAATAGGAAGGATAACATAAACAAATATAATAGTTTTGAAGTTTTTGTAATTGCATAAAATTTTCGTTGCAATATTTGTATTGTTAAAATTTATTTGTTGAAAAATTATATGTAATAGGTTTGATACATTTAGAAAAATTCAGAGACCAATGATGGCAAGATCAATAATGGTAGAATTTATTTTAAATAATTATATAAAAGTTATGCAATTTTCTTGTGCCTCTATAATAAAAATTTTAAAATTTTAATTCATGTTAGAAACTATAAAACTAGATTAGAATTTTTCTTTCTTGTTATCCTACATGGCAATCAGAATAACTATATGTCAACAATAACATCATTATGGGAATAAAATTTGAAAGTGAATCATATTGAGAATATTTTTTAGTAAGAGCATTATTTTTGCCAAAAACTCGTAAGTACACGATCTATATTAATTTAAATATTTCAATACATTTAACTACACATGCTTATTCATTAAAATTACATACTTTTACTCAATAAAGAATGCTCGTTGATACAAGAGTAATCTAGTCAATTAACAATAAATTCATTAACTATTTTATTAAGTAAATAGTGACCATTCTTCATTCATAAAACTTTCAAAACTCATACCCTCTTATGAATACTGACCCATTCAATTGGAGTTTTTGAAGAAATGTCGATATAATGTATGTGAGATAAAAAGATAATTAAAAATATCTCAAGAGAATATTTTTAAAAATTTTCATAGAAAACTCACAATCCATATGATGCCTAAGTATTCTTATTTTCCACATATATTTCCAGTATAAACTATTTTTGTTAGGCATTCCTAGCATAAACCATTATGGCTTCCTATTAATATCCAATGTGTGCAAATAATTTGGTCACGCTTTTTTATAAGTAATTGGTTCTAATATTATTAACTTCAAGTCTTTGTACTTAACAAAAGGGTAAAATATCAAAAAACTCTCTGTGTTTTGACAAATATTCAATTTAATTCCCTCTGGTTTAGAAACATATACTATAACTCTCTGTGGTTTCGACTAAATTAAAAATTGAACATAAAGCATCTAATCTAATGGTTGTGTGTGAAATGTTAACGTTGCCCCCACTATACGTGAGATGCTTTCCATTTAATTTTTAATTTAGTTGAAATTACAGGGAGTTATAGTACAGTTTTTTAAATCAGAGAGAGTTAAATTGAATATTCAACAAACTATAGGGAGTTCATTTATACAGGGGCAATAACCATGAAATTTGATGCTTTCCATCCAATTTTCAATTTAGTTGAAATCACATAGAGTTATATTATACGTTTCCAAACCATAAGGAGTTAAATTAAACATTTAATAAATCACAAGGTGTTTTTTGGTATTTTACCCTTAACAAAAAGCCAAACCATAAACATACTATGGATAGAAAATTGTCTAATTTGCAACTAAAATTTTTTTTCGAGGAAACTAAAATTGCACACAAATGAGTGTGCATGCCTTATTAACAAGTAAATATTTACGTGAGTACATGCTTCCTATTACCCCTCATTTTGGTACATGAGAATATCAAAAATAAAAATTTATTTCCACTCTCGATATGTTCAACCAAATACGGAAGGGAAAAAATTATTATTCCAGGGTCTAGTGCACAAGTTAGAATGAAATATTAAGTCATTTTTAATATTTAGTATAATCAATATTTTGATGTCGAAATGAAATACAGTAAATACGAGTAAAAAAAAAAAATGAGTTTGACTTCTTTACCTTGGATTACTTTATAGGACATAATATATTTAAATACTTTTTGGTTTATTTGTTCTACGATGCTATTTGTCTATTTATGTGAAATTTTGATAATTTTTACTTTAACCATGGGCGAGGTTTGATATCAAAATTCTTTAATTGTAATACTTGATTTGTTTTAATATTTAGATTTTTATATTAGAGTTTTGCATCCTCTAGCAAGTATAATTAGCAACGTAAAAGCTAGAGTTTTGCATCCTCTAACAAATACAATTAGCAATGTAAATTATAATTACATAAACTCATACGATCAATAATTTATAGTTTAATAAAAAATTATTGCACAATTGTTCAAAATTCAAAGGATCAAGTATTTTAAAACATTTGTTTCCTAATAATTTTAAACGCAAGAAAATAATTTATTATGAAAAATTATATTCAAATATTAACTAAGTTTACAAATAGTCCAGGTGATACCTATGCTATATATATAAAGTTTGAAAAAGGGGTTTGGAGTTAATATTAGAGTTAACATTTATTGTCACTTTGTAAATTTTCATTTTAACCCTTATAAAAATTACTTTTATTTTAACTATATATAATTATTCATGAATACTTTTACTTTTATTTATTTAAATATATGTTTTCAACATAATTACATTTATAACTATCAATATAAAATTATTTTATAAAAAATATTTAAAAGATTAAAGCTTGCTTCAATAATAAAATTTTTATTTAAAATATATGACCATAAATATTGCAATTAACTTGTATGAGGGTAAAAGAAGAACATTTTACGAAAAATATATTTCCTATTTAAATGATCAAATATTAGAATGGAATGAATAATTTAGAAAGGCTCAGGCCAGTCGGGGGATAGAGGAGTGCCTCTTGCAGGTGCTTATACACACCGACCACCATGGCAGAGAACGGCGCAGCAACCAATTCTTCGTCTCCCCCACTATTTGACATTGCCCACCACTTACCTCTCCGTCTAATTAGATCGGAGATCATCCCTCCGGCCCCGAATCTAACCAATTCAGCCTCCGGACCGGCTATTGACTGGTTATACGACTTCGCCGGCTACACATGGATCGCCTACGGAGCATCTTCTCTCTTAGTCATCTCTCACTTCCCCAATCCACTTTCCCACTCCGAGACCCTCATCGGTCCAATTTTCCGCCAGGTCTTCCAGCTCTCCATCGACGGCACGGGCATTGTATCAGCAGTCTCTTGGTCCCCTGCTACACCTTCCGCTGGTGACCTAGCTGCGGCATTGGATAATTGCATTGGAGTATTCTCTTATAATTCCGATATTCCTCCTTCTAATAGTAAGTTCAAATGTTGATTCTAATGTCGCTTGTAGAATTATTCGGATGTTTTCATGTTTCGTATCTTGAAATTGCAGTTTGTTGTTTAAATTGGTTTGGAGACCAAATATGTTTTGTGAATATGCTACTTATAGTAGAGAGTTACGGAGAGAAATCCAGATTTTATTGTCCTCTCTAGCTTAGATCGTGAATAGTCCATTGAAACATACGGGGTAACGGTTTCTACCTTCTGACTAGCTGGTTATCTGAAGCGGAGACTTAATTGATTTGACATGAAGACTCCTTGCTTTTATTTAGTGTAATTGGATTTTAGGACAATGAATGCCATAGTTTTAGTTACTGAGATCTGAAACGTCTCCTTGTTGACCTTTCTAGCTGGGGCTAGACAACATTTACCTTATTTTTCCGTTTATTTGTTCTTTAACTTTATGAAGTTGCATCAAAAAATGGAGACCTGAGGGACACTGCAAATTGTGTTGTCAAGTATCCTCTTACGTGCTATGATGATCTGATCTCTAGAATAACTAGTAATGAGTAAAAGCATTTACGATTGGAGTTAGTGGATTCTATCTGTTGGGATTTCTGCTGCAGAATACTGGTTCATGCAACCCGATAATCGGATGCCTTATCCTCCATTAATAATTAACTACTTTGGTTTTATTGTATGGCACCTTGCTTTGACTATTCCCAATTTTTTGGTCAACCGTGTCTTGCTCCCTTGATTGTGAGTATGAACTTCTTTACTGATATTCAGGTTCTTTTTGTTGGAGCCAGAGTGCAATTCTTGTACAATCTACCAAGGCAGAGGTGATACAATGGACTGTTTCAGGAGATGGGATAATTGTAGGAGGCATTGAGATAGTCTTATGGAGAAAGAGAGAGAAATCCTGGGAAAGGGCTTGGAAATTCAAGCGAACAGTGCCTCACACTCTTGTTTCTGCTAGCTGGTCAATTGAAGGACCTCTGGCAACAGCTCCTTTTGGTAAATTGCAGGTCGGAATTTTGTCTTCTCCAGTAAATGAGGCATGCAATTCTGTTGCGGTGAATTTTGGCCATGGAGATTCCAAATTTTTTCAATCTGAGCTTCGTCATCCATTGCCAATATCGATGATCCAATGGAGACCATCAACTGGAAGACCACTAAATGGAGATGTCAGACAACCACCAAGGTTGATGTTATTAACAAGCTGTTTTGATGGCAGTGTGAGACTATGGAGTCAGAGTGATGATGGGAAGGTCAAAAAAGGTGGCAAGGACAGCTGTGATCATGCAATGACAAAGTTATCCTTTCGAGTTGTTGCTGTAATTGAGGTAAACCAAGCACTCAATGGAACTTTAGGCTCCACTGTATTTGTCACTTGGGCTACTGAAATCGACAGTATTGCTCGCCCCCAGTTTTTCTCCCCTGATTATCAATACAATAAGACTGGCTATTGTGAATGGTTAATTGGGTTTGGTCCTCAATTAACAGTTACCCTCTGGGCTATTCACTGTCTTGATGAATTTTCTCCACTGAGATTTCCCCGGGTCACATTATGGAAAAGACAAGAATTAATCAGTCCTCAAGTGGGATCTGGAGGATTGCTACTCAATAAAGTATTCATCAAGAGAAATAAAATGTTTACCCCACCAACAATGTGTTCTTTGCTTCAAGTATTACCCTGTAATTCTCTGGCTCTTTTGCACTCACATTCACAAGCATCACCTGATGCACAAGATAGATCTACAAATAATTGTTACGATAAAGACTTATTATCATCCTGTGCCTCCGGAATTCTGGATATTGATAGTCACACTGGGACTATATTAAAGGTTGTAGTTCATCCTTATCTATTCGAAGCTGGACTTGCTGCTTCTTTGGATACAAATGGACTGCTTCTCTTTTGGTCACTTTCCACTGCTTCTAATGGTGTTGCTGGCTTGCGGACATTGAATCCCTCATGCAAACTTTATAGGAGAAGTGTTTTTTCTGAAACTCATGCAAAGTGCACTAGTTTGGCATGGGCACCTGCTATCTTCAATGAGGTTCGGGTTCTTGTCATGGGGCATGCTGGAGGTATTGATTGCTTTATAGTAAAGGTTATGGACAATGAAGAAGACAAAATTGCTGTCCACCGTTTATGTACAATCCAATATGGCAGTCAAGACTTTGATAGAGGGCCAACTACTCTTAGTTCAATTCCTGTGCTTTCAGCCTGTAATAGAACATCTGTTTCTGGTAGTTTTATGGTAATAGCTGTATGGAAGAACAGTTTTCAGGCTTTGTCATGGAACATAACAATCCATCATTGTGATTTGTTGAGAAACTGTTTCGAGTGCGGTTGCAACATTGGTGATACTACTGAGAACAATTTGTGGACATTTGAGAGTGATTTTTCTGAAACGAGATACTTCATTTCTATTCATCCTTACTCATCCATACTTCCTTCTCCATATGACGAGGATATGATTTCAAGTTTTGCGGTGGTCCATCCTAGTAACTTTTTCTCATTTGAAGAACAAGGATGGAGTTCTGCTGATGAATTTAGCCCCAGCTACTCCACATATCACATGGTCACAGGTTGTAGTGATGGTACTGTAAAACTATGGAGAAGTTTGCCTGCAAATTTATCCAGTCCAAAATCACTCTGGGATCTTGTTGGTGTGATTGCTGCACATCAAGGCCCAGTTTTGGCTATATCGCCTAGTGTTTGTGGACGAAAGATTGCAACTGTCTCCCATGCGGGATGCTTAAGTAGTGCAAGTACTGTACATGTATGGGAATGTGTGCACTTTGGGACTGGTGGCAAGTTTATACTAGAGGATACAATATGTTTTGAGGGAGAAGTTGTTGCTTTGAATTGGTTGATGCTGGGCGATGGCCATTTATTATTGGGTGTCTGCTCACAAAATGAACTGAAGATCTATGCTCAAAGACGCTGTGGAGGACAGGATAGTTTGAAGTCAGAAGAACATGTTGAAGGAAATATTTGGGTTTGTATTGCGGTAACTTCTAAATATCCTGTTATTCAGGACTTCTTTTGGGGACCCAAAGCTACTGTCGGGGTTTTACACCATGACTATTTTTCTCTCTTCAGTCCTTTCTCACTCTTGGATAAAAAGAATCTGCTGTTTTTTTGCCCAAAAAGTACTCATCCTTCCATTTTGAATGATGGTTGCAATGAGTATTTGCTCCCTGCTGTTTTCATTGATTCTGACATTTGTGGTACTGAAGGATCATCAGTTGAGGACTGTGGTCAACAACTCAAACCCCGGCCTTCTGTGAATATGATTGCAGAAGATAATCTCCTCCCATTCTTAGATGTGGAGAGGAGTAAACAGAACTTGAAATTTGATTCTCTCATTAATTTTTGGAGCTTATCAGAAGTATCACAGAAGCTGGGAGGATCTCTATCTGCTTTTCATCCTGAGGCACTTCTTCTGAACATAAGTAAAGGTATTAACGAGTTTATCATAGTTGGACATATTCTGTGTCTCTGTTGATCTCATTTGTCCAATGATTATACCATTGAAGATCTAGAAAATGATTATAGGCTTGATGATCACAAAGAATGGGCTACTGGCAAATCTGCTATTTTAGTGACAAATTCACAGATAGAATTCCTTGCACTGTTCCATAATAGTTGGACCTGAAGTTGAGTTAATAGTGACAAGTTTTAGTTGTGTATCTCTATTGGTTCAGCTTTTCTGTTCCCATGACTGAGTTTTCGTATGCAAACTTTTTCTGATTATTATATGTTCTGTGCATTAATTTTAGATGTTGTAATTTGATGGCTGCTTAACAAGTAGTTGAAGTTGATAACTTGCATGTCCTTGTCTGTTTCATGCTTATTTTCTCCATCTGAAATGTGAAAATCATATCTTACAGAATGCAGATCATTGATGTGCATAAAGAGTTTGATGGATATCTTGTTTCAACAGGTTTACTTCAGCAACAGCAAATAAGTTGAAAATTTGATCCATGGTTCAATTTCTGAACTTGATTTGGTAGAAACATTCATAAGCTGACTTCAAAGATTGTTTAACATGCTCTGTTTTCCTGACTGTTATAGTTTTTAGAGCCTTCTTATCTTTTTCGGAATGGGTTGGGGTGGAGGGTTGGATTTTGTCAGTGCTATATTCTTTATTCCTGCTCATGCAATATCTGAATGTTGGACTGCTGTGGTTATGTTTTACCTCTTTTTCCTATTCTTGCAAAATTTTATTTCCCATACAGCTTACTTCCTTTTGTTACCCGCTGGCTTTTACTTCTTTGCTTAACATGGCCTGCTACGTACCTAATATATTGTACTGTCATTTGTTAATCCTCACTTCCATTCTTATTTGTTGGTTCACTTTGTGTCATAAATAACCATGACTTCATAAATTCCTCCAGGTAACTGGAAACGGGCATATGTGACTTTGCAGTATGTTCTTGAGAACATTGCATCCGCTAAAATACATGGGAAAATGTATTGCTTTGGGAAAGGTGGCCATGTTGTTTCTCAGGTTCCTTTGTCAAATTATCTTGAAGGGCTGCTTTTTTCAAGCTCAGGTGATAAATCATTTCAGCAGAATGGAGCAGCAGATAGCATTGCATCATCTTCCCAGTTTCAGAAAGGAGCCTTTGCATTTGGCTCCAGTTGGGCCCAGAGTGCTAATGCACTCCCCTCATTTTCAGTGAGATCTGAACCTACAGACTTCGTTGATGTTCTGGGAAAGCTGTATGAGTCTGCTGGCATAACCAATACTGAAAAGATGCAGATGCATGCTATCATTGATATCCTGCAAGAAGTTATTAATCACCACACTGTTTCTGTTTATGGAAGCCTCGATGAACCTGGTCGAAGGTATTTTTTTTTTTTGAAAAAAATTAATATCTTGGAGTTACAGGAACTTGACTTTAATTCCAAGAGAGGCTTGTGTTACTAGAGGTTGTATAATGAACTGTTTGTTTGTCTGCTACTGAATTATATGTTCTTTTTTGGGCAAATTCCGCTATTACATTGTAATGTGGTAAATGGATTGCTGTCAAATCACTGTCAGTTACCATTTGCCGATTACTTGGAGACTCTTGAAAGTAGAAATTATGTAACATTTCTTTCAAATAAAAGTTGAGGTGAATCACCATTGTTCTGCTCTGCCCCTCTGTCTCTGTCTCTGTCTCTCTGTCTCTCTCTCCCTTTCCCTCTCTCTCTGTCTCTCTCTCTCTTCAGGGCTGGTTTGGGTGGTTGGATGTTCTGCCTGGGTGTTTAGGTAATCTCAAAAAATTGCCAAATTGTGCTTTCCTGGTGCTGTTGCATCCTCCTAGGTTCTTAAAGATGGAAATAACTGCAATATATTTAGTTAAGCTAATATAGTTCTTGTTGCTCAATGATTTCTTTTCTGCGTCATTTGCTTGGTATGACTTAACTCTTTGACCTATAATTCCATTTCTGTTATATTCAATAGCATTGTTATGTTTTTGTTGACGCTGTTTCTCCCTCTTTGCAAGGTTTTGGGTTGCAGTGAGGTTTCAACTGCAATATTTTGCAAAGATATATGGTAGGTTACCTTTGGCAGGAGAGTTAGTTGTTTCATCAGAGCAGATTGGATGGGCCTTTCACTCAGATTGTGAAGAAAACTTGTTTGATTCTCTTTTATCTAACGAGCCATCTTGGCAAGAAATGCGTGATGTTGGTGTTGGATATTGGTATACAAACACATCACAATTGAGATTGAAGGTACCATCTGTAGCTAATCCTACTATCTCTGTTTAATGACATGTTTCTTTTTGCTCTGGATGCATGTACATCGGCATGAACTGATTCCAATAAACACACAAAGTTATTTAGTTTTGTAAAACTTTCCAGGTGAAATAAGTATATTTAGCTGTGAGTTGCCTTTTCTTTAGAAAGTTATATACTTTATTGCTGTGTAGCTTTGTTGAGAGTAAGAGTCAAAGATTAGCTTTTGCAGTCGTTATTTGCTATGAAGAGAAAGTTGTAGTACAAGATTTATTTGGTGCTGCATGAGGTTGGTATGGACATTGTGTTCCAGATGTAAGCTTTTTTGTGTTAAACTAGTTCTAGTGGTGATTTGTGAAAAACTCACTGCATTCATCTTGGGATCCTCTACCCTTCAAAGGATTTGCGAAGCAATTTAAATATAAAAATGCAGACACGTTAATTGAAGATTTTCAATTACAAAATGTAAAAAGAGAATTCTAAGAGAACTGATGTGCAAAAAAACAAAAAGAAGCACTCTTGACAAGGAAAATAAAGTGTCATGTTGGACTAAGGTGATGGAGGTTTGTTTTAATTTCTGTTGTTTATTTGTGTATTTGTTGACACTACCCACTCTTATTGGGGTGGTTGTGAGCTACCGGGAATGTTGGAAATGGTAAATGTATCCTTTGGCATCCTTACAGAAAGTAGTTTTTGTTGAATGAAGATTTGTGATATTTGCTATTGTCAATCTTTGGTCGATTCATTAACTGATGATGCTTAGTGTCTTGTCATGGGAGATATATATATATCTCTACCATATATAAAGGAAGAGGAGGGGGCTTGGTGTAAATTGTTTTTTGTCACTTCTTGTATTTCCTCTTGTATCCTCCCATTGACAAGCTAACTAGTACCACCATCTTCCTTGGGGGAAAAAATACTCAAAATTAATGGTCAAAGAAACCTCCAATAACCGCCAATAACTCCCCCCCCCCTTTCTCTTCCGCAAAAGAAAAAACTTGTATCATTTTCCCAGTAGAATACATAATTGCTAATTATTTTTTTCTTATAATTTTTTCTTTTAATTTGCTCACACATACAGTGTGCCTTTCCCACTAGTGTACGTTATGCATGTACAATCTCTTTGTTTAGGAGGTTTAATATCTTGATTGATTGCTTTATTATTAGGTTTTCATGATTGATGCTATTTTTGCAAAATACAGTAGTACGTTATGTTCAGTTCAATGACGCAAAGTAGTAGTAGAATGTATTGCTTTTCTTTCTTCAGCAATCTGTTCTATTGTTATAGATGGAAAAGCTGGCCAGACAACAGTATTTGAAAGCTAAAGATCCCAAGGCTTGTATACTTCTTTACATAGCATTGAATAGGATTCAAGTTCTGGCTGGCCTTTTTAAAATGAGCAAGGACGAAAAGGACAAGCCTCTGGTGGGGTTTCTTTCACGCAATTTCCAGGTAATACTTATGTTGTAATTTTTTTGCTCAACTTCGAAGCACTTTTCAATAAAATGATTCTGAACAAGGGAAAAAGTCAAAACTAAAAGTTTAAGCATTCAAGTCTTGGGTTTGTATTTAGTGAAGTACGTGATCCTTTCCTTTTGATGGGTTTTAATGCTAGCTTTCTATGGACTGGATCCAAACCTAACCAAGAAATTAAGGGTAGGGTACAGTTACTTTATTTTCAGTACTGCAGTTGCCAAAACTGAAGCATATATGTCCAATGTTGGTGGAGGCTCTAGTTTCTTTTCATGATTGGATATTAAAAGACGTGTCTCTATTTTGAGGAAAGACTATAAGATTTTAAAAAATCAGAATATGTAAATAGTTTTACTACTTTGTCTCTTCCTTACTTGATGTTGAATTTTTTGGTTGTCCCTATGATATGTGTTCCCCTTCCACCCAACCCCCACAAAAAAAAAAAAAATCCTAGAGCCTTAATGTATTACTGATTGGCCTGTATCATCTATATTGGAGATTAATTGTTGATGGTTTTTAAGAACTAGAAAAGGTGGAAACAAGAAAATGCTTTTGTCATATTAAATTTCCATTATCTGCGATGTAGTTGGGGATGAAGTTATTTTTCAAATTTTATTATATGCAAGTAGAATTGATGGTAAAACGAGATCTGTTTCATCAGTAGTAAATACTGTTTTCTCCTTAATATATTCTTACTTACCAAAAAAAAACTATTTTTCCTTATTTTGGAAATGCCTGTTGGAATATTCGATTTGTGAATATTTTTTCAATATACAATAACATTTCTTGTTGTTTGTGTTTTTGGGCGAAGGTTGATCATAGTTATGGGGTTTGGTTACCCTTTATACCTTATCCTCCTCAACTGTAAGTAGTGCAAGAGAATTAGTAAACTTAGCTATTTTGTTGAGCTGGTTCAACCAGCCAGGGGGTCAGCCATTTGCAAATGGACTAGTTCATGCACACCTCTTGCTTTTGCAACTTCCATTGTGATGAGTGGCTTTTCTCCACCATTCTGTTTGGATCATTACTAAATTATCTTGACTCAGTTTTTTCTCTCCTCAACCTACTTAGGCAATCATGGAAAAAGTGATACATTTTAACCATGGAAGTTAGAATACTTCAAACTTTGTGGAGTATCTCACGGGCTGTCGATAACACTAGGGGTTTTCATTGTCTTTGCAGAACTTGAAATTCTTATATTCCACCTAAATAGCCACTTATGAAGTAAACTTTGTCGCGTTTTGTTAAGTTACTTAAACCCTGCTAGTTAGTTACTTTTTCTTCTTTTACTATTTTTAAACTCTTATCTGCACCAACTCACTGTTATAGGATGAAAAGAATAGGGCAGCTGCTTTGAAAAATGCTTATGTTTTAATGGGAAAACATCAGCTGGAGCTTGCTATTGCTTTTTTTTTGCTTGGAGGGGATACATATTCAGCAGTGAATGTCTGTGCAAAAAACCTTGGGGATGAACAACTTGCTTTGGTAATTTGTCGTCTTGTTGAGGGGTATGGTGGACCATTAGAGCATCAACTTATTTCAAAAATCATCCTCCCATCTGCAGTTTCAAGAGGTGATTACTGGCTCGCAAGTCTTTTTGAGGTACTAGTTCATCCATATTGATGGGTTCTAATGGTGTTATTATTACTGGAGCCTCATTTCCATTTTCTCTATTGTTGGCAGTGGATATTAGGAAATTATACAAAAGCATATCTTTCAATGTTTGGTGACCAGACAAGTTTAATAAACAAGGAGTCAGCTGTCTCAACTAGTAAGAAGTCTCTTCTGGACCCAAGTATTGGTCAGTACTGCCTGATGTTGGCAAACAAGACAAACATGAAGAACGCCATTGGGGAGCAAAAAGCGGCAGTTCTCAGTCGGTGGGCAGTATTGATAAGTGCTATTGCATTAAGCAGATGCGGGTTGCCTGTAAGTAATCCTTGTGTGTTAAATTATGCTTTCACATTTAGACCTGCTGGTGTCACCTGGAAACTTTTTTGCGTGGGAATGTTACTGCAATAACTGTATAGCTTAGGAAAATTTTGTCCCCTTTAGAACAAGTCTCATCATTTCCCAGTGCTTTCGCTGACCATTTTGAAGCTGAGTATCTATGTTCCTTGTTTCCACATTCAGTTTCAACTTATAGTGCCTGGAGTGGATGCTAGTTGAGTAACTTGATGCTTCTGAATCCTGAGAGCAAGATGTTTAAACCTCTTGGTGTGATTATTCACTATTCATTGTTTACTAATCAAATGGCCCTTTAATATCTAATCTGGATCACTGTTGTTGTTACAAGCTTCCTGTCCCTTCCAATCAGAAATAGTTCATACTGGTGAGCATCTAACTATCACAAGCATTTTGTTGGTACTACCTCTATCACCTACTCTGTTAGTATGACCTGACTGTAATGACTCAGGTTCATAGTTCTAGTGCACCATATTGTTGAGACCATACCCCTGATTTAAGTTGTGCACTCATAAAATACTAAGAATACACCCCCCGAATCACAACACAAAAATGGGGTAAAATAAAAGAGCAAGCCACCTCTTCTACCTGATATTATTGTTTGTGGGTGCTAGAAAGCTGCTGGGAATAGTTGTTCTTTAGCTAATTTATTGTATCGTGGAGGTTAGATGAATGAAGAACTGCAACAGTGTTGTTGTTGTATGTGTATTTTTGTTTATGTACAATATGGGTTTCCATATGTTTAATTCTGGTGACCAATTTTGTTATCATTTGAAGCTTGAAGCGTTGGAGTGCCTTTCATCATGTCGCAATGCTTTAGGTGCGCAAAATCAAGGAACTGTGTTAGAGAACGGTGATGTTGAGCTTCTGAATCAAGTTCTGGAGCTATCCCCAGTTGGAGATTCCTCAAACTGGACATTTTTTGATCTGGCTAAGCAGAAAGAATTACTTGCTAAATCAGATTTGGCTATGCAGTACCTGTCACAATTGTTAAAGGAACATCCAAGCTGGGGGGATATTATGGTACCGTTTGGTGGATGTAATTATATGGAGTCTGCTTATGAAGAATACAAGAGATCTGTTGAAAATTTTTATGGAAAATTAACGGTGACATTGGAATATTTCCAGCAGAAGTTCTCCTTGAATCCTTTCCATCTCATTGACAAGGTATCTAGTTGCCGATGATAAAATCATATTCTCTGCTGACTTCTTCACTTGTTCTGTATGAGCTTACTAATTATGTTTTTCTTCTGATCTTCTTTTACAGATCGTATTATTCTTGCATAACAATGGCCTTCAATATATTGGATACCACATATTTCGTGTGTGTGGCTCCAGATTCCTATCACCAGAACAATCATGTAGATTTGATGCTTTCCTTTCTCACCCGCACAAGCTACTTTTTAGGATGACTGAAGAAGTCTTGACAGTATCAAGATTTATTGTTTCCAGTAGCTTAAGTTGCTCTCATTTGAAAGTGTCTTCCACCAAGAGTGGAATTGCTACTGAAACTTGTTCTCACTTGTTGGTAGCTTTGGAGTTTTATCAATGGAATCTCATACGGTCATTACAGTGCATTAGAGCCACACTGAAGTTGTTTTTTGGCTCATCAACTGAAGATATCCTGCATATGCCTTTGACAGTTATTGACTTAGCTGAATACTATGTCTATTTTGCATCTTCCTGGAGCCAAATGAACTTGAGTCATCTTGCTCTGATCTCGAAGCCTATTTTAAAGAGATTTAGTCAAGAAGATACTCCTCAGGAGATCTTAAAGGACGTAAACAAAATTCTTTCTGAGATTAGAAAGATTTTGGCTGATGAGTTACCATTGAATGATATCGGAGCTTTTGAAATCAACGAAGAGATGCAACATGAACAAGCTGGAGATATCTTAGTAAAGATACCTGAAGATGATAGATGGCTAGTTATTGTCGTGTCTTTTTGGGGCCAAATTTCTAGTTTTCTTAAGCATCTGCTTGATTTGCTCATCGAAGTACTTGAAGAAAGCTCTTCTGTTCAATCTCCAAGGGGGTTCCCCCTCCCGACAGTGCCAACTTTATCTGTAGTTGGAGCTGATGGGAAAGATGTACAATTACCAACTGCTGTTTTACCATTTTCCAAGCTATTGGATGTAACATGTTCACATATTTCTTTTTATTGTGCAAAACAATTAGCTTCATACTTGCTGCTGAAAGGAGATACAAGAATTACAACCATACTTTTAAGCACAGAAAAAGATTATTCTGAATCTTTTTCCCAATCCAAGTACTTTAGTCAAAGAGTTGACACTGTAGATATGTGGGAGAATGAAGCTGATTTATCACCACATGAGATTTTCTGGCATATCTGTGCTGATCCGAAAATATTTCCTGGTTTTGTGAGAGAAAATTTGAAGTGGTTTGAGTGCATTAAAAAGAAGTCTTCCAGAGGCTGGGTTGATGTGTATGTAAGTATTCTGAGGGAATACGAGGGTGGGGAAATTGATCGAGAAGATGATAGACTTGGAAGTCCTTGTAAAGCTGCTGGATCACCTGTTGCATGTCTGACCCCAAATGAGCATCCCTTCATTGCTTCTGGGGGAAAAGACACAGAGAAAGTTGTTCCTTTTAATACTCCTGCAGAAATATATAAGAGAAGTGGAGAACTTTTGGAGGTTTGTGCCTTTTTTTCCCTCGCCCTTTGTCTTTTACGTCACAAAGTATATGATTCATAACCAGAAATTTTGTTGACCATCCCTGAAAGACTGTTACTGAACTGAATGATGTCTAATCTCCTATGTTGGGCAGGCTTTGTGCATCAACTCCATTGATCAGCGTCAAGCTGCTCTTGCCACCAATAGGAAGGTACCACAGACCCTCTACAAGCTGCTTTACCTTTTTTTATGCTGACATATTCTGAGAATCTTATTATAATTTGTTATTTCTTTTATTACCTCCCCAGATGTTTTGCCCAAGTTTTGGTTTGCACTTGCAAAAGTGTGAGCTATATTGTATTTAATTAGAGATGCAGCTTTCAAAATGATTATAATTTGAACTCCTCAAAGAGAGCTTTTCTAATTTTTAACAAAATAAACATTTCCAATCTGTGAAATACAACAGACAGAAAGACCTATCTTTGGGAAAAATATCATGCCCTTTAACGTGGCAGCTGCTAATTAATCAGAAGACATCATGCAAGGAAAAACTGTGTTGTAGGGGGGGGCTGGTAAATAAGCTGTCTGAAGTATCCTTGATTTCTGGGGTCGTGGACCATCTGTGCAAAGAGACCATTTATAGCTTGAAGAAGAGATTGTTTGGCATCAATACTCACCAGAGTTGCATTATTGAGATATTCAGAATCTTTTTGTGGTGCCTAGTATATACAAGTGAACCAAGCCTTTGGGCAGGCTCACTTCGTAGAAAAGCTTGTTCTATCTTGCTATTTCAATAGTTCATTTTGGACTTGCCACACTTGGCTTGGAAGCTAAAAAGCACAAAATCTTCATGAACATCTTGATGACGGTTGGAATTATTATAGTGCCTAAGCTCCAACATTAACGATTCATGTAACTATGCGAAATGTTTCATGAGTAGTCTAAAATGATGGATTGAATTTCAGATCTTGATCATGTGATATGCTGGAATACAGCAGCGGGTTACTTGTTTTCTGTTGTGTTATACCGTCTAATTCGTATTATGTTCAGCCTATATTACACTCCCAAATGTTACTGATTTTAAGAATGCGTTAAATGCTTTTAGACGATTTTAAATGCTTTCTGGATAATTCTTGAAGTTTTCTCAACTATGTTATTCAGGTAGGCCCTTTTGTTTGAACATGGACTAGGGGGTTGTTGGCCCTTTCTTGATCTATATCTACTAGTCTTCTTTCTTTAATTTGAATATGAGTTTTCTTCATGAGAAAGCTCAAGGGTTTTTTTGGGGATTTTACGGAAGTAGTGCGTTAGTATCTAAGGTTTGGTCAAAAACTGATAAGATAATTGACCGTCAATGAAGCCACATAGTGACTCCGGGAAAAGTTAGTACTTTGAACCTCTGCTTGTACAGATGCACAGGTTTGTTACTCCGTAAAGAAGTGTCTCCCAGTGTTGTAATTGAATGAATTGGCTGTTTTTTATTTCGTTTAGACATAAATACAAGTGAGAGGGGAATGTCCTCAGAATTTAGAACATAATCTGCCATGAGATAATAGCTGGTAATTAAGTTTTTCAGTGCTGCTGCTTTTTAGTAAGTAGATTTGCTTTTACTTGCAATTCTGAACTGTTATTTCTTAATCTGAGTGTTTAATCTGTCCAAATCTTCATTTACTTTATTCTTTTGTGGTATAAGAAATGCCTATCTTTAAATTTAGGGGATAATATGCTTCAACTTGGAAGATGGGCTACCTTGTGGAGATGAATCTAAATATGTCTGGGCAGATGCTGACTGGCCCCACAATGGGTGGGCCGGATCTGAGTCTACTCCTGTCCCAACATGTGTTTATCCTGGAGTTGGTCTTGGAAGCAGAAAGGGAGCTCGCCTTGGGTTAGGCGGCGCAACTGTTGGTGCTGGCCTTTTTGCAGAGTCAGGTAAAGAGCTAAAGGATGGTGGAGCATTTGGACTTCCGGGTTATTCTGGCATGGTTGGATCCAGCCTTGGATGGGGGGTTCAGGCAGATTTTGAACAATTCGTTGATCCAATTCCTACTGTTGGAAGTGTGAATGCCAGTTCATTCTCAACTCATCCTTCAAGGCCACTCTTCCTGGTTGGTTCCAGCAACACACATGTATATTTATGGGAGGTAAATGTCTTCTACCAAGAGTTGGTGTCTATGAATAATCTGGCTTGCTTTATCTTACTTTTAGGTTTGCGTTACCATCATATCAATTGGTGAAGAGTAGGCACCACAAGCCATATATTGCTCTAATGTTAAATGGCCTCCAGTTCCTGTAAAATGTTTTAAGTATATTTTTGGTCTAGGAGGATAGTTGTTGCAGTGCTGAGTGTAGGGTGTACAATCCTGTCCTCTACCTGACTTAGAAAGTAAGCAAGAATTGGCTTATATGATTCCTTCATCTTCCATGTCTGGACTTGTCAATGAGTGATACTTGTCCAAGCTCCTTTATTCATACAACAGATCTTTTATATACCTTCATTATGTTGAGCCTTTTTGTATCTATCCTATCAAAATTTTGCTCAGGATCTTCAGAGAATTACACAATTAAAAAGCCCATGATCATCAGGATCTGTTAAAGGTTTGTCAGTGGACTTTCAGGTGACCAATTCCTGCATTAGTCGAGAATAGGCCCTTATTGAACTAATTTGCACTAGTTAATACTCTATTGCTTCATATCCAAGGATTAGAGATTTGGAAATAGCACATTTTTCTTATATGTGCTTAACGTCCTAGATATTAGAAGTTTTCATTTTTTATTCATCTTTTGGAAATTTGTTTTTCTTTTCCCCTTCTGCATAATTTGTAAAAGGTTGTATAAATTGTGATGATCAGTTTGGTAAGGACAGAGCAACTGCTACATATGGGGTGCTTCCTGCTGCAAATGTTCCTCCGCCGTATGCCCTTGCATCCATCTCTGCTGTAAGGTTTGACCACTGTGGACACAGATTTGTGACTGCTGCACAAGATGGAACTGTTTGCACATGGCAGCTAGAAGTTGGAGGAAGGAGCAATGTTGGTCCAACAGAATCCTCTATCTGCTTTGACAATCATACATCGTAAGCACGCTAAGTGGATGTTTGTTAAGAAAAATCAGTTGTTTTTTTTTTTCATTTATTCTATGTAAGTAGCAGAGTTCTATATCCTTCCTTGAGTCAGAATCTTTTTAGGCAGTAGTTACCTCTCATAGGAACATGAGATTGTCATAGTTTATCATGATGAGTTGCAGATCGTTGATGATATCAAAGGTTGGTCTTGCTTCCTGAAAATAATGCCTGGTTCATGCAATAACTTTGAAAAGTATGAAGATTAAGTTTTCAAAACCAAATGAATAAAAAACATAAATATGTCGATATTTGGAAAAGAAAAGTATGGGACACTGCCTGTAGGAAACTGAAGGGAAGAGAAAGAAAAGAAAATCTATCTTGTCATGATGTTTCCTTGATAATGGAAATTAAAAAATTAAAATGTTAATATAGCATCTGGAAGCTGAATGCAGAAGGAAAGAAAGTAAAAAGTGAAGTTGATTTCGAAGTATTTCTAGTAGGTTTATAAGATGGCCTTCCCTTTTCTTTCATTTCTTCCCAAGTATGTGCAAAAGAAGCTCAACTTTGGATAATATAATCTATCTATTGTTTTTCCACCATCAATGAAAAACATGGAGGACTGAATCTCTCTATTCTTCTTCTTTTTCTTTTCTTTTCATTTGTTTCAAAGCATAGTGTCAACAAGTTGTGTGCACTTCCTTTGCCTCATGCCAGGTAGTTTTAGATTTGAGATCTACCCTGGAAATGCAATTCATATCTGTGATTCTTTTCATGTAGACATTTGGTAAACACTTACCATCTATCTTTGCAGGGATGTCACTTATGTTACTCCTAGTGGGTCAATCATTGCGGCAGCTGGGTATAGCTCTACTGGCATCAATGTGGTTATTTGGGATACACTTGCTCCGACAGCTACTTCACGGGCTTCTATAATGTGTCATGAAGGTTTTTTACCTATTGAATTTTTAATTTAGTTGGAAAAAATCATTTTTGAAGTGTTTTTTTTTTAATTTTTAAATCTTAATGTGTTGGCCCCATTCATAAAAGCATGCGCAAATTATAATACTCCTCTTGAAGGATTATGAGCGTAACAAGAATGTCTTTCTGGAGAAGATTTGTATTATATGCTGCAGAAATTAAGGGGAGGTTGGCTGTAGTTCTAGGAGCAAGAGAAGAGGTCCTTTTACTATCATTAAACTGAGACGAAGGTCAGTTGAGGATATATGTGGTTCAGTATGCTTCCATGATTGAATTAGAGGGAAAACTGACTATCAGTACCCCAAAAGCCATTCAGTTGGTGGAGTGCATGAAGTCTTTGTACATCTTTCCTCTTTCATTTGCCATGGATAAGTTGATACTTTAGTGTGAAAGAGGACCCTTGTTGATTGCAAAAACATCCAATTAACTCTTAGTGAATATTCAGTAAGAAGTAAGCGAAGTTCACTTATCCATTACATTAGGGTGACTCGAGAAAGCTTGAAAGGGAATTCGGAGAGCCCTTGATAATTTCTAAGTTCATATTCTGTATCCTGGCGGATTTGTAAGGCATGCTAGTGCTTGTATGGTAGGCTATCTGAATGTTAGTTGTACTGAATGCTTCCTGCCCTTCTGCAGAGTTTTTTACTCTTACTGATGGTAATTTGTGCATCCTGCTCGCTATCAACAGTTGTTCCATCAAGCATTGCTATGGGCAGTAGATGCATGCTTGAGAGCTAAATGCATTCGTTAAGGAAATCAAAGTGGTAGAAAGGAATTCGATGTATTTTAAAACAAGAAACCATAAAATGGAAGACAATAACAAAAGGAGCTCACCTTCTGGTAAAATAGAAATCAGTATCTCTCAGCTTTCTGTCTGCTCTGTGTGACTTTTTCTTCTGCCGAATATCTACTCTCAATTTGCATATTTTGACATGCATTAGAAAAACTTAATTTCATTCTCCTATAGCGATTTATGCTTAATATTTAAAGTTGATGATGACTTGCATGCTAAAAAAAGGATGGAAATTGTGCGATTTTAGGTGGTGCACGCTCCCTTTCTGTCTTTGATCATAATCTTGGAAGTGGTTCTGTTTCTCCCCTTATTGTCACGGGTGGAAAAGCTGGTGATGTTGGACTGCATGACTTCCGCTACATAGCTACTGGAAGGACAAAGAAGCACAAGCATACAGACAACATTGAGCAAAATGTCAATCTGTCTTCCACTGAAGACATGCACAACAAAACTGGAGACCAGAACAGAAATGGGATGCTCTGGTATATACCAAAGGCACATGCAGGTACTGTAGATGTTTGTATAATTTCTCCCAGTGAATGTTATATCATCTTCTGACTTGGATTCTCTTGTAAAGCGAGCGTGACCAAAATATCTACCATCCCAAATACAAGTTATTTCCTGACGGGAAGTAAGGATGGAGATGTAAAACTCTGGGATGCCAAGAGGGCCAGATTAGTATTTCATTGGCCAAGATTGCATGAAAGGCACACTTTTCTGCAACCAAGCTCTCGTGGTTTTGGAGGAGTTTTTCGGGTAATTCTTTAACATGGTCTAAGCTTTTCTTCTGGAAGTCAATCTAGTGACTTGCAAGTTGTGATCATAAAGTGAAGCGACATTTGATCCTGTTTTGCAGGCGGCTGTTACTGATATTCAAGTTGTTTCTCATGGTTTCCTTACATGTGGTGGAGATGGTACCGTAAAGTTGATTAAGCTGAAAGATTTTTCTCACTTCTGAAAAGGTAACATGGTTCCCCTGGAGGAATTGTAAAATAAAGTTTTGACAAGATAGTCTTTGCTGTTGAAGAAATGTTGCAGTATTGAACGTCTGTTTTAGAACTAAGACGAATACCCTTGTTGGGCACCTCTGAAGTGGAGTTCCTTCTTGCTCCAAAAATGATATGTATATTCGTATCAGGTAGCCCTTCATCAGTTTCATCTGTTGAAGTCATCAGTCCATGAAATTGGCCTTGGGGTTTGAGCCCATGTACATGCGTTTTTTGTTTCATGTGGTATATAGCCTAAATAGTACTAAATGGTGATTTCCTCTTGTTAGATATGTAATGTATAGTTGCATGTACAGAGATACCTGTACGTTGAGCAACCGCTTCAAATTTTGTAGATGTATTACTTGTGTATGGGCTAGAACCTAGACTGATGTAATTCTGTAAAGAGTGCAATACAAGGGCTCTGTGGTCATCCTTCCGTTGTTTCCCTTTCAATATATATATATATATATATATATATATGTATATATTATAGTAACGATAATATTTCGATAATCTAATTTATCCTAATTTACACGGAGGGAGTCTAAAGAGACTGTGTAGAAGGGGATTTTAATAACCTAATCTATCCTAATCTATAGGGAGGGGAGACTGTGTCTAAGGGGATTTTTATAATCTAATTTATTTTAATTTATATGGAGGGGAGTTTAAAGAGATTTTGTATAAGAGGTTAATAGGTATAAAAATTTAACTAGATCAAAGAGGTGTTCTGACGCTTCTTTTGAATTCAGATAAGGTTTGAACTCTCGACCTACAATTTATAAAGGGATTCAGTACATATTTGGTGGCCACTTGAGTTGAAGCTCAGTGCTTGGTTTTCCTTTCAATATTGTTTAGGTGTTTTCTTGCGATTACAGCACCGGAGGGAGTTGGCAGTGTCTTTACCTTCTGAGGCACCTTTGACTCTGGGGTAGTTATATTGGTCTTTTTTTTTTTCGGTAAAAGTCATGTTTACTAGTGCACACACAGTTGAGTACAAAATGCATGGCATAATCCGGAAACGGCGGTGGTGGCCAACTGGGGCTTACTCTCCAGATGGGAAAGTAGAACATGAGTCAAAATATAATTGTAATCTGATATTATTTTATTTAAAATTGACAATTCTTTTTTACTGCTAGAATTTTTGTTCGCTCGGAGAACCCACAATACAGTAAGCTGATGTATTCCATCCTGAGTGTATCATGTATGAGGTGTCTGTATGTCATTCAGAATTCAGGATTTGGGGTAGTAGCGGAAAAACGAGTGGGAGAAAATGCACATTAACTTGATAAAAGGCCAAACACTACACGTCAAAGAAATCCACGCTCGTCCCTCAAAGTCTAATCCGAAAATTAAAGAACTTTTAGGCCTTATTTGAATTGCAATTTTTCATCAACAAATTTTTATATTTTTTCATCTGATGATGGTCCACCTTCCTCTCAGGAGGAGTATCATTTTATTAGCCAGCCAAAAAAGGTTCTACTCTGCAATATTTATATATATATTTTTTTTATCGCAACGATAGATGTCATATAACCTAATCTAGCCTAATCTAAGGGGAAGAGAAGGGGGTTCGATGTGAGTACAGACTCCATCGATAAAGGTCAATTAAGACCGGCATAAATAGTGACAAATTTGTGGGAGACAGGGATTGAACCCCTGACCTCCAGCATCACCTTTAATGGTGATGACCACTGGACCAAATGGCCAGTGGCTGCAATATTTATATATTGTGCCGAACTTTGGCGAAGGAGGTCATCTTGTCAGCTGAGTTCAGCTTGGAAGTGACACGTACAAAGCAGTCCAGAGCCGAAGAAGCTTTAATTGTTGCGGCCTTCTTCCACGTAGCCGTCAATTTCGTGGGAAATGCGCCCCACCTAATTTGACACGATTTTGATGCGAACATAATTGATAATTGAATTGGTATAAAATTCATTATATTAGCCCCTGAGATCGGCTCGGCTGGTGTTGGGGTTGCCTCGTTAGGTTCTGGTATCGTGTGGTTGTAGTTTGATTTCTTCTATCGTCTTATGTATCTTGAAAAGCGGGTGGACAAGTGCGGAAAAAATTAATCCGAAAGGAATACTTTCTGTGATGATCAAAAAATAAATAAATAAATAAAATTCATTATATTAAAGACATGTTAATTTACATTCAAATTGTACCGGTTTAAACGATGAAGGGAGCTGGACAGAAGCTCAACTACTTAAGAGGCTCGATCCCAATTTGGTCCTATTTTTACCATGGGCTCCCACTGTTTAGTGTTCTCTCCTGCTCCCAGTTTTCTTCCCTAATCCTCTTCCTTATCCTTTTAACCCACTCTCCTTTCTTTGGTCGGTATTGCCGACCTTTTTTTCTGACAATTTTATCATTCTCCAGAGAATATTAGACAAATTGAACAAACTCATTAGCGACAGCGACAGCGACAGCGACACCTCCCATCCAAAACGGATAATGTCAAAGACGGATAAACCGATAATTTTCACATCAACCCGCAACTAATCACTGTCACAGGACTCTTTTTTTGCTTATCAATTTTCTTAAAAGTGCATGCCTACGGTGTACGTCCTCCTCCTCATCGATCAAAAATATACATTTGCATCTAGCTTTGATTTGATCCAATTGTGGCTCATTAATAAAAATTGTTGACTTCGACTTCCTACTAGTTCCTATCTGAGTCCATCTTTTGACGGCTAAAGTAAGCTTCTTCATTAACGCAATTGCATTGCACTGGTGGTATGTTTGCGTTTGATGCAAGCAATATATATAGATATATGTATATGGGGTTATTACGCATAAGATAAGTGTAATCCAGATTGATTAAAACCAGAGGATAAAGGGAATATTAAAATGCTTTTGCTTCTCAGAAAATGCAGCATGAGGAGTTGAAAGTTGTGATCCGAGAAGAAATTAGTAGTAAAAGCATCAGAAAAGGGAAGGGAGAGGGTATGAAATTATGCGACTAGCGAAGGACCGCTTAATTACTATTGAGGACTCAGCCCACGATTGAAAATTGAAAATCAGGCCCCATCCCAAGCAAACAGCTGCGGCATTCACTGATGGATGGATTGATGGACACATATTGCCTGTGTTTTAAAATTCGGACCGGACCGGCCGGTCGAACCGAGCACTGGTCAAGTATCCAGTCCAAGTCATGCTTAAAAACTGGATAAGTAAAAATTCGGTCAAAAATTGGGTTGGATCGAAAAAAACCGGTTTTTTCGGTTCAAACAGCATTTTAAAAAAAAATTCAAAATTTTTCAATATTATGTTTTGATCCCTAGATTGTTAAAAATTATTAATATACCTCAAATATTTCATACTTTATCAATATTTTCTTAAAGTTTGATATTATTTTTCAATTAAGTCAATAATTTTAATTCTAAACTTGTTAATACTCATTAAATAATATAAATTGTTACTTTATTGTTCTAAGTTTTTTGTATTTTCTTGTTAAATATATTTAAAACATCAAATATATATGAATATACATTTATTAATATTTACATGTTATTAGGTATTTTACATATAATATTTTAATTTTTAAATAATTTTTATTTAAGACGTGATCCGGTTCAATCCCTATCAAACTCGATTGAATTCATTAACCCTTGAACCCTGAAGTTGACCGAGTCGATACCCGGTTCGGTTCTCAAAACATTGAATTATTGCTTACCTTCTTCTTCCTAGTCCTAATCCTAATCGTTTTTCCTTTCCTTTTACTAGTCTCTGGTAATTACCACTTGGACCCCACAAATTTCCATTAGAAACTTATTTAAAGCAAAAAAAAAAAAACCCAATACGATGAATTTAACTTCTCCCCTTTTCTCCAAAAGATATATCCAGATTAGAGATGTCCTCCTTGGCAAACAACATACAATGTCACATAGATAGATATGGATGAGGAACCAAAACGAGGGACAAGTCATCGTTTTAAGCCCAATGGAAGAAGAACAAAGGGGGACTGTGCAAATTAAACAAAATTTTTTGAACAAACAAAAAAAAAAAACCGATAACTGAAAAACAAAAAACTGAAAAAGAGGTCCTCCCTCACTCACTTTCCCTCTTACTCTCTGACAGCGAGAAGATAGAGGAGAGGGAAATATCGTTGCTTGTCTTTTGGACTGGAAACAAAGATAACTGCTGCTCCATTATCAATTGAGATCCAAACCCACTTCCCCCATTTTTTTTCCTCCTCTTTAACTTTTGATTCAATCATTTCCGCTCTTTCATCTCTCTCGCTCAGGTCTCTTTTTCTTTCCATATTTATATTCCCCCCTACATGTATATACGTACATCACTCTCTGCCTGCCTATGTGACACATGCACACATACATACATACATGCTACATATGTAATAATTTTTTTTGTCCCTTTCTGTTTACCAATAAAAGTTTGTCTGATTACAGTTGTTAAATTCTTTTGACATCTTTTTTGGGTTTTGGGGATTTGCTGTTAGATTCCTTGGGCTGATGATGTTATGTGGTTCTTGAGGTTATCTGGTTTATTGATTGTAGTATCAGTTTTGGTTTCTAAATTGGTTCATAATTTTTTTTCCCTTTGGTGGGTAAAGGTGAGGCTAGTTGTACTTGCAAGATATTACCTTTCTTCTTTCCCCTTGTGTTGTTAGCTTTTGGTGATGATTTATCTTTGAATTGGTTGTTTAAATCTACTGGTCTTGCAATTGTTTTAAGTTTTTGTCTGAACAAGTAATGCACCTCCATGTATGCTTTCCTCTACAGATTTAAATAATCCAACTGTAATTTCTCGCAGATTTGATTAACTTGCAGAACTGACAAAAGGACACTTGGGCCATCTATTTCAGCCTTTTTCTAAGGATTCTCATGTTTTGTTTGCTGGATGGTTCTTCAAACTGTTTGGCTTGTGGTTTTCTACCTCAGTTTGTAGTTTTGATGCTAACTTCATAGACTAGGAAGTTGCTTTAATAGCATTCTGTGCACTAGCTTTTCAAGTTCTTACCGGAAAAAAAATAAAGGTAAAATCTTTTTAAGTGCTTTTTGAGACTTGCAACATATTAGAGTTGCTTGGGTAAAGTTAAAACCTTTGGGGATAAGGGATGTCATAATTGGATCTGCAGTTTTGGTTTCGTTAATCCAAATGTCATGGTGGATGTTTTTGACCTCCTTCAAATCCTGGAGGAAGAACAAATATTCACTCTTTATGTCGTATCCTTAATGAGGTGATCTGGAGGGCATAATCCACTACTTTATTTCTGTTTCTCATTTTGCATATTGGCTTTAATTTTTCTTCTCTATTGCTAAGAGGGTTTGTTGACATAATTTCTGTGGAATTTGTTCTTTGGTAATGACTTTCTTGGTTAAGAAGTTGGGCATGAATATTAGAAAGAAGTTTAGATGAAGAGCAATCAAATTTAGTTGTTGAATGCTGCAAAGACTTCTTTTGCAAATGATGTGAAAACGTTGGTAACTGTATTTGTCAATGCTGTTTGGTGGGTTTACATCTGTACTTATTTAGAAATTTCTGTTAAGTTTGAGATCAGGGAAAGGAATTAATTTATGATTGTTTAGATCAGTGCTGAATTACGTTGATTTTGTGTTTTATTTATTCTACATACTAGTGGTTTCTTCTATGCACATAAATATCATAAGACTTGCTTTTGTTTCATGGGTGTACATTACACACTTAGTGGAAGAATCATTAATTATGACAATTTAGCTTGTTATCTTAGAGCATAACATTTTTCTGAGAGAGTATTATTTTAGGTGGTAATATGCACTGAGGAATGGGGGAGTGATGGCAGTTGCAGAAGCAAGGGCTGCTTGGCAGAGAACGGTTAATCGCTGCTTGGTCCAAGAAGATGCTAAGCGAGCTCCTAAATTAGCTTACTGCCCACTAGCGTCACCCTTTGTCAGAGAGGTTGAAGTGGGACCTGCAAATGCTGCTGAGGCACAGGACATTTCCAGTGTAGCTTTCCCCCCTTTCAATCGGAGCACTTCATTTTCTAATTTGTCGCCAAACTCAAAATGGTGGCTGCAGCTTCCATCAAATTATAGGCATCAAAGGGGTTTAACAGATGAACAATTAAACTGCACAGATTCAGAAATGGAAACTTTCCATGGTCGTACAAGCTCAGCCCTTAAAATGCCAGAAAGTGAGGATGGCAGTGCATTGTTTTATGACTCGATAGAGACTGAATCTTTTGTTGATTCTGATTTAAGAATCCTTAGCACTGGTCTAAAGAAGGATACTGAAGTCGGAGACAAGGACTTGACACCTATGAATAAGCTGAATCCCCAATGTTCTCCTAAGCTTGAGGATGTAGGGGATTTGTATGAAAGAGCAGAGATAGGTACATATGGTTGTACAGTTTCCAAGAAAAAAAATGAACTGTTTCCTGATTCTGAATCGCCTTGGATTGGAGATGAGAAAATTGGGCCATGGTGGCGCACAGCTGACCAAGATGAACTGGCTTTATTGGTTTCACGGGGATCTTTTGGACTTATTGAAAATTGTGATCTTCCCCAGCCTCAGAACACGTGTGTTGAGAGGGAAGCTTTTGTTGATCTATGCTGTTTTGATCATGATAGGGCTTGTATCTCTCCTATAGATCCAAAACATCCTGGATGTCATCATGATTTAATTGTCCATAAGCAGAGTAGCATTGCATCGCAAAGTGATTGTCAAAAACAGCGGTTGTCAGTTGATGAGCAATTGCAGTGTTCTACTATTACATCATTAAGGTAATACCTACAGTTTCTTCTGATTCTCTGATGTGCAGTAGTTGATTTTTTGTCATGGTCAACTAAGGTTATAAAGAAATCTTAGTTGTGCATAATCGTTTTAAGAGGGCTAAAACTGCTTTGCCCATTTGAGAAGTTTTTCAATCCCCAACTTGGCCATAGTTTAAAGTTTTATATAGATCAACGCAGTCCAACTTGTCAATATTACATGCAAGTCTTGAGGGTAGGCTGAGATGCAAGGAAACTGTGTGAAAATTCAGCAAATTTAAATAGGCTGATGCTTACTTGAAGTCTTTTTTTTTTTTTTTGGGCCTTCAACAATGTATGGCTTTCTGTTTACCCTTCCTGTTTACGTTCTTTTTCAATTGACATTTGGCCCTCAACCTTTTATATCTCCATCTATTTTCTGTGTGCATGCTTCTATCTGTTGACAGAGTGGAAAAAAACATATATAAGTATTTTAAATAAGCATGAGCATAATTCAATTATTTTGTGATGCTTAAGTGTACTGGGTGTGATCACTTGCTGGTGTTGAACAAGGATTGGGGACTACATTACCTTAGCTGTGAGGGCCATATGAGAAGATGATGGTATTGGTGGGCATGATATATCTGATACCCGTGTAGACACAAATTCCATCAACAAATGGTGAATAAGAAGAAAAGTAGAGAACAGCTGCTCTGACTTCTTCAAACTGCAATTTTGGGCCATGAATAATTATTTCTAACTAGTGGTATAGGCATGATTTAGATAATTGGATTGAGAAAAAAGAAACAAAAGAGAAGATGAAAGTAAAAGGATGACAAGAAGTTATTGGAAGTTACAAATATGGTATTTCCTTTTGTTCGGTAGTTTCTGTGGTAGTGTTAAGAGTACTGCAGAAGTATGGTGAATGATTAGATGTACATATTTTGGATGGAGCAGTGTGAACATACATGTTTGGAATGGAAACATGGATGTGGGTAAAGTATAGGTTGGTAGTTCTTGATAAACATTTTTTTTTTTTTTGGTTGGTAAAAGGTTGTACTGTTTACCCTTTGTAATAAGACAAAAAAGATAATCCAATAAGTTGACAGAAATGTGAACACCACAACCCCTCTCGGGTTTTATATGTAGTAAGATTTTGTTTACGGTGCTAATGGAGATAAGCTTCAAATGATCTATTGTACGATTGTGCTTATTGCTTGTTGTTTCATATGACTTGGGAGTCCTGTGGTATGTGTGTGCATCTCACCGTGAAACTGACTAAAAAGCGTTAGCTCTTAGAAGCTGATGTCTTTTGTAGAGCAGTCTAGGATGCAGTGCTTTTTTTTTTTTTGGTTCTGTCGATGCTCATTTAGAACTCATTTTGTGCTAATTGTCGACGTAAACAATAGGCACATTAAATATATGCCACGCTTTGTCTGTTGGTAGCAGGTTATTGATGAAACTACTGAAGGTTCCTGGGACCATTAAATGAAAGGACCCTTTGCTCTTAAAAGTTAGAAATTGTATCATTTTTGTATATGTGCATTGTTAAAGTGATGGCTTGGAGAGCTAAAAACTCATGCATGTATCTGTTTTAGTTGTCCTCCTTCCACATTAGTCGCTGATACTGCATCTCCTGAAACAGAGATAGCTCAAATCAAGATGCTATACTTAGAAGCATTGCATCTGATAGCGATTCCAGTAAGGCTCAACTACTGGAAGCTCTGCGCCATTCTCAAACACGTGCAAGGGAAGCTGAGAAGGCTGCAAAGCAAGCATATGCAGAGAAAGAGCATGTAGTCAAGCTTGTTTTCAAACAGGCATCTCAACTATTTGCTTACAAGCAGTGGTTTCAACTTATGCAACTAGAGAATCTCTGCTATCAGATTAAAAACAACAAAGGCCAGCCAATTTCAACTCTTTTTCCTGTCATGTTGCCCTGGGTGCCTCAGAAGACCAGAAAATTGCGGAAGAATTGGCAGAAAGCCGCCAGGGGAAAAAGGGCCAAGAGGGGACGTCCTAGAAGTGACATAAGCAGATATGCAGTAGTTTTTGCATTAGGATTGAGTCTTGTTGGTGCTGGTTTACTCTTGGGATGGACTGTTGGGTGGATGTTACCGACATTTTGAGTATACGGGGTGGTGTGGTATATCCAATTTTTCCTTCTTGGTGAGTCAATGTGATGATTGGTTTACGCTAGGGTTGATTGCATGACATTTCACCTCCTGCTGTATCTATCCATGTATTTAGGGTACTCATCTTTAGCTTTGATGAACTCTTGCAGAGTTTGTGCACGTGAATTGATGGATGTTCCGTGTATATATGTATAGATGAGCATATTCTGCCTTGTCATGTTTGTGTTGCTTTAGGTCTGCTTCTTTCGACGGATTAATTCTCAATTATGTGCCAGAAATGAGCCTGAGAGTAGTTTTTTGGGCTATAAGAAAGTGTCACGGAAACGCTCGTTTGCCTGACCTAATATCTGCATGTCTCTACTTCACTCTGTGTCCTTTATTGCTCTGGAATGCTCGAGTAAATGAAAGCTGGATCGTTTCCTGAACAAAAGGACAGTCCATGATTACATGGATCAAAAGAGTAAAAAGGGAGAGAGATTGGAGAACGGAGGAGCAAAAACAAAGAGGTAGAAGGGAGCCTTAAATGCTGTGGTATTTTATTGCCATTGTTGTTGTACTTTGAGCAGTTGCACATTGCACGAGACCTCATTCGCAAATGTTTTCTCTGATACTCCTTCCATTATAGGGAATGTTTTGCATTATAATTCCAGTTATTCTAGCAAGTGGATGATGGGTGTTAAAATCTTGAGCACTCACAGCATGAAAGCGCTGTCCTAACTCCTAATACTTTGGCACCCCCTTTTCTGCAAAAAAGTTTTAGACAAACATTAACCCATTTTTTCTAAAATAATTACAATAAAATTTTAGACAAATACCCACGAACGCATCGTCTAAATGGACTCATAATTAAATGTTGTACGATTTTAACGATCAGAAAACAATAAAAAATTTTCATCAACTTAGTTAATGATGGTGGGAGCAGCGCAGCCAGTACAAAACATTTGTCTCTTGTAATTTTTCAACATATGCTGCTTATGCCTTGTATCATATGCATCACAGAACAAAAAAGCAGCATGACTAGTAAAAAATCAGTGTGTAAAAAATTAGTAAAATTGTATTTTCATTCAAGCTCAATTACTTGAATATGAGTGGTTTCACTCAGCACAACTTGAAAAAAAATTTAAAAAAATCAACATGGATAATAAATTCACGAGTCCTTTTAAGGCCGCATTTGCCAATGAAGTGGAACATCTTGGGCCAGCCCAAGAAATAGTGGATTGAGTGACATCAGCCCACCATCGCCAAACTATCAACAGTTAAGCTCTGATGTCGTCTGGCTCGTATCAATATCGGAAAGAGTTCCGAAGGACCAGAGGCAAGAAAACAGAGAGGGAGAAAGGAGAAAGCAGCAGCAGAAGAAGATGCCGGTGATGGAGAAGCTGAAAATGTTCGTGGTCCAAGAGCCCGTCGTTGCCGCATCTTGCCTCATCGGCGGCATTGGTATACCTATATTCCTACTACTCTTCAGCCTTGCTTCTCTCTCTAGACCTGATTTTTTTTTGTTTTAAATTTCTGACCCTCTGAAAGTTAAAATTTCCCTGGACTCTATGCTACAAATTCATTAATTGCTCGGTGCTGTACTATGTTAGTTCAATTTACGTGATTTGATTTGATTTGATAAAAGTTGAAGACCATGAGATAATTGAATCTGTTTATTTTAGTACACGATTACTATTATTTCTTACTGTCTGTGGGCTTGCGAATTAGGAGATGAAGTACGTCAATTTGACATTTTTTTTTAATTTTGAAAAAGTTTTGATTTTTCTTAGGCAGATAATGGGAGGAAGGCATTTCAACGCGAGGCAGCTTTGCAATTGCATAGTTCAAACTCTCAGAAACCTAGACTCTTGGAATTATTGCTAGTAACCCAGACTTATTGAAATATTTTTAAAAGAAAACTGCTAGTTTTGATGCAATCTCATAGAGTCCTGCTTGATTTTCAACTTTCATTTATGTGAATTTTGGACGTGGGAAGGGAACAGATCATGTATTGTGCTGCGTTCTGCCTATGTCTCATCAATAGGGTACTTGGCAAAGTGCTCTTCATCATCTAACTTGATAACATTGAATGATTGATCAAAAGGGAGATATGCCAAAGATTTTGAATGATTGCATTTTAAAAATATAAGATTCAGCCATGAAAAAGTATTGAGATAGTTTTAAGTTTGGTAACACTATACGTTTCAAGGTTTTCTGGTGCCCGTTTTGTGGAAAACAAAAATGAGTAGGACTGGGAAAGGAGGAGAGGTGTGACTTTATTAACAAGTGATATAGCAGCTCAAAGGAGGTGAAATCGACAATTCGATTCTTCTTCATTGGCTTGAGAATTATGCTAAATTTATGGTCTAGTTGATCATGTGGCATATATCTTAGAGTTGTGGAATGTTATTAGATGACTTAAGGGTGCCTTTATGTCACCTTGGATCAAAGTGTAAGACATTTTTGTTATTCATTTTATGAATGAAATTATAAAAACGTTGTCAGTTGTTGAGATTCTATAGTTGTGAAATTGCAGTTTTCTTTTTCCACTGTAGCTCAGCTTTCAAAGGAGATTTGTAATAGCATATTTTTGCATTCATCTGTGGAAGATCTCAAAATTTTGATCCATGCAAAACTAGTGCAATTTTGTTTGGCATCACTTTAAGTGCGATTGTTAATAATCAGAAGATGCCTCCACAAATGTATAGATCTTGGAGAATCTAGCAAGCACGATATTTGAAACAGTTCTCCATCATTCCCCTCTTCCCCTTGGTTGGAGAACTTTTTTCTTTGACTTTCCTCCTTTTTGTAAACAGAGTAGACAACTTGATCTTACATGTCTTGATGTCTGAAAAATCTCAGGTCTCTTTCTTCCAGCAGTGGTGAGGCCTATACTAGACTCCTTTGAATCATCGAAGCAGGTCCCTCAACCTGTTTTGAGTGATGTAAGCATTAAAGTTTGAGTCTTACTACCTATCCCTCAATATGCTGAATTGTCTGATTACTTTCACCTTTGAATGTTATTTGTTTCCCTCGTGGTATATGTGGTCTTACTTTGAATTCCCGTTGCTAGAACATGAAGATTTTGTTTTTAAACACTTTCAAACTTTTATATTATAACTATTTTGCCAACACTTATCCTCTAAATTAGCTATTCGTTTGATGTACACTTAGTCGCAGCTGCTTTTGGACTAGTATGTGAGGTTCAAATGTTGGTGAAGTTTCCTAATCACATTTGTCTTCCTTCGCATTTTAGACAGTTGAACTGGTCAAACAGCGTACATGGTTCTCTATGTTTCGGGTGGACATGGAGCTTGGGCAATTGGGAGGGCTTGGCAGATGTGTTCCCCTGTCATAATAATTTGGAAGTTTTCCTAGTGCCCCCTCTGGGCTTCTAAAGAAGCCCTTTTCAAATAATCTGGGCCCCTGAGATTCTTTTGAAAGACATACTTTCCTTTGACTCTCAAGTGATTTTGAAACCCTGATGAAAACCTAGAAAAAGCATGTAATGATTTATACACAAAACGGACTGACTGCTAGTCTCACCCTCTTAAGTTGGACTCATTTATTTATTTGTTTGTTTGGTCTTCTTCTTTGCAGGTGGTTGCTGGTATGACTGGTAAAAAGTAAGGTCCGTCTGGGTGATGGATAATGTCAACGGTTTCTTGTAATGTCTTAATGCAATTATAAATCTTTAATAAGGTCCAGAATTTTTTAATTTTTGTCTCTAATTATGAACTGTTTTGTACTGAAATTGAGCTTGATCATACTAGCTAGGCGTGTTGCTTGGACATGCTCTGTCTTGTCTCCTTGGCTTTCTGTCCTTTCAAAATCTTTAGTTAGTATCCTGCATGTCATGTTTACTGATGCATTCTTTATTATCTTTGATTTTTGGCAATTTTGATGAATTTTGTTGCTTAATGTGACCATATTTTAGGGTTACTGTCATCAAGGTTAGAGGATTAGGCATGTATACAATTTTATGCATGTCAGGGGCCAGCATAAAGTAGAACTCTTGCATTTAGTATAAAGCTTGGGAGGTATTAATCGATCCTTTGTCTGTAGTTACAAGATAGAGATCTAGATCTTTCCAGGCATTTCTAAGCTGCGCCATGCAAAACTTGGTTGTTTTATTTGGAGTAGGAGCACAATTGGTCTAGTTTTAGTAGACTCTTGTGGCGTAGAGTTTGGTTTGCTTCTGAAGTTAAAGGAGGAAACATTCTTTTGCATGAATCAAGTGGTGGTACCCAGGATCAGGATGGTAAAAGATAAGTTGAAATTGATTTTTGTCGTTTGCCTTTCTTCTGCATCTCGGAATGGTATTGGATGAACTTCAAATCTTGGATTTCAAGATAGAATAGAACAGGCCCTTGGATTCCGAGGTGATTCATCTAAGCTGGGAGTTCGAGTCTAGGACAATCTGGCTGTTGGTGTAGGCATGAAGTTTTCCATAACATTATTTTTTTTTTTTTGGCCTTTTTGACGCTCCTGCTGGCGTCGTATTATTTCGGATATTTAACAATCTGGGTCTGAGCAAAGGCGTCTTTCACAGTAACAGCGACAGGAAAATGGGGTAAACTGAACCACGAATCGCCTTCACGGGAAGTTATGTATGATTACTTGCAAAACTAGCAGTGGGATTCTGCAGTAGTACATAAATAAATAAATAAATAATTTGATTCGTTTGTGTCCGCTTAATACGTCGGAGTCCGGAATAACTGCACTGCATGTAGGAGCTACAGCAAAGCCATAATAACACACGTTCCTCGGATTGAGGAACTTCTTCGACATCAAGATTATCCCTAGGCATGCAGAAGTAATTAATTTTACATTGCACGATATCCATAGGCAAGGTGTAAACTACAGAACTCCTTTCTTTGATTTTCTGCTCTTCCACGGAAGCACTTGCTTAAAGCCCTCGTACACTGCAGCCTACAGGAAAGACGGAGGAGTACGAATCATGAACCGTAAATATCTGCTTATATTTTGGGTAAACATTACAAACAATGGGAATGAAATATTTGTCATAGCTCTGGGGGACCAGAAAGAAATCATCTGGAGAATAGCAACCACCTTTAATTGATTCTTCCCTAGGCTTTTTGAGATGCTCAATCGATAGAAGGATGTGATTTTTTTTTGGGCATTCAAAGGGGTTTAAATCTCTCGTACGTATATACATATTGGCGGAATGAGATTCAAATGGTTCCGATGTTGGCGCAACTAATTCCTTCCGTGGCGTACTAAAAGATTGCGGGCAACCCAAGAAAAGGAGAATTTACGTACAGTGGCCAGATCCTCCACCCTCCAGGACACTCCATACGCCTCGCCACAGACGACAGACCTGGCCGCTTGTACTAC